CATGGAGATGTTTGGACACAGAGAAAGGAGAAGCATTCAAGGCCAAGAGCAGCATCCCCACGGTCCAACATGGTGGTGGAACGTGATGCTTTGGGGCTGTTGTTGAGCCGACGGACCAGACAGTCTGGTCAGAGGAAACGGCATCATGAGAACAGAGGAGAACATCAGGAGGTCTGCAGGAACACTGCTCCTTGGGCAGCATTGGAGCCTCAACAAAACATGCAGCCAAAGTGGTGAAGAAACGCTGAAGAGGAAACAATGAGGAGATGTTGGAGCGGCCCAGCCAGAGTCCAGACCTGAATCCATCCAGAACCTGTGGAGGAGCTGAAGAGCAGAGTGATGGAGAGGAAGCCTTCAAGCTCCAAGAACTGCAGATGGACACTTGGAGGAACCAAATCCCAGAAACACTGTTAGACACTAGAACAGCTGAGGAAAATAAAGACTGATTACTGACACAGAAATACTCAAAAAAAAAAAAAAAAAGCATCAATAACATCTTTAACACAGTGTCTTCCTGTCTTTTGTCTCTTTTTTATGTCATTTCCAAACTTGCTGGTCAGATAAAAATTCACTTTAAATCTAAATGTTGCCTTTATTGTACATGACCTGCCTACAAAACAAGCCTGCTCTGAAACATGCAGACACCACTAACTGTGTCTGGAGCGCATCCTGCACTCATCCTGTCGATTGTGACGTCTTCAAACATCCACACAGTAAAAATCCACTCAGGTGTGAAAGCTCCAGACAAAAAAAAAAAACCTCTTAACTGTGTTGTTGTTGTTTAACGGTGACGCAACTGTGAGAATTAATATGAACAGAAACAGGTCAAATCAGCAAAAAAAACAAACAAACATCCCACCTACGCCGACTCTGCAGTCAAGTGAGACTCGTGACGTCGTGTTCCTCAAGTCAAGTGCACATTATTGTCTCTGAAGTAGTCGAAGTCGTGAGAACCCTGTTGCTAGGCAACCCGCCACAATAAATCGACGTCGGCCTGCTCGGAAAGTAGTGAACGGCTCGTTTTGAATGCTGCATGAATGAGAAAACTTTGACGGAGAACTCGTGACTGAGCAGAGAATAAAGTTTCATTGAACAAAGACAGCAGACAGGATCTGATGTGACGCAAAAGGAGAACAATACAACGGAAAATGTAATGTTTATCTTTATATAACAGGTAAAATATCTGCTGTGAAATCTACCTGAAATGTCAATCAATCATTCAGGCAGATTCAAACCTTAGAAAACACTGCTTCATGCTGCTGCTCCTCCTCCTGAATTCTTGCACCATAGTTATAATTAACGCTCCAAATTATTCACACCTATGCTACATTTCCTATTTTTTTTATTTGGACTAACAGGTTTTTTTCTGGCTGGAAATGACACAAACAAGTGAGAAAAGACAGTAAGACATCAGGTTAGAGCTGCTAATGATGCATTTTAACTGTTTCTATGTTTTTATTTTCACATTCTCATTTTATTTTTTAACCAAAAAAAAACCTGTCATGTCATTCTCAGTAATCAGTTTCAAAGCCTTTATTTGCTCTACTAATTGCTAACAAGCTTCATGCATTTAGCCATGATTTGCAACTAACTAGAGAACTACTGGATCAGCTGTTCTTAGTCTGTGGTGTACGAGAACGATGGAGAATATGATAGAAGTTATCAGGAACATCTGGAAGCTGCATTTTCTCAGACATTCACAACAACATGCAACACAAAAACAGCTCAAATTCATCTTTAACATCTCTAACACAACCT